GCCCCCCCCCCCCCCTCCCGCCTTCATGATGTGTTGTGGCAGGTTCGAGATCGTCGCGCCGGCGAGGTTCGGCTTGGTCTGCTTTAGACTCAAAGCCTCGTGCGCGGCCAACGAAGAGCTCAGGCAAGCGCGTCTGCGAGTTGATTCGTGGATGGCCTATCTATATATACCACATTTTTTTTTTTTCGTATGATGCGAAACACCTTTCTTTCTCCTTCGTCAAGCCTTGTGCGGTATGTACGCTACGGAATGTCCTTGCGGCTTTGTCCGTACCTCGAGCGCGTACGCGTCTTGATTCAGCGTGTGTTTGTGTTTTCGGAATGCCGTTTGACCTGGCTCGAGTTTATATCGGCAGCTAGCTGTCTGCAGTCAATTTTCACTCGTTTTACTGGGCTGATTTGTGTACGTGTCATCCCCTTTCCTAGACTTCAGTTTGCACACCTTTCGGTAGGTTTCTGACGGACCAGCCGGGGTCGCACAGGAGGAAGGCCACACGGGAGTGTTGTTTTGTCTGTTCTCCACCTTCCTTCTTCGTTGGTTGACTTAGTTTGATCCAGTCTTTCCTTTCCCTTGCCGACCGTGAAGTCGAACTCTTAGTGTGCACACACGGTTCCATCGCTTTCCACATTTGCTTGGGCATGGCGTTTGAAAGAAGAATCTCAGTTAACGTGGCTGCACCGAGATCCGAACTCACGTGCCGATCGTCGAAAAGATGGGGCCACCAGCGGTGCGGATGGGCCTCCGAGTTTTCGTTTCATCTGCGGCGGCGTCTGGTGACAAACAAGCGAATCAAATCGATACTGACAGCAACATCAACAACCTGTGCCAAATGAACAGATCGCGGATCGTAGCCTCGGGGCTGGCGTTCTTTTCTTCCACCAAGCTCGAGGGCCGGACGTGCCTGAGAGTGAGCGTTGGGGGCCCCGCCACCGAGATGAGACATATCCGAGACTTCTGGGGCGCGCTCGGAAGGACTGCAGACGCCGTCACTGCTGATGGTTTCTGACGCTCGTCATTCAGGGCTGTTCTGTAGAGGTCTAGTTGGGCTGAGTAAGATCTCGCGGTGGGAGTTGGACGGGGCCGTGCCTGCGAAGGGGCTGTTCTCTTTCGGTCTCGCACTCATTGGCTCCGTTCCTGGCCTGTCAATGTTACGAGCGCCTGTCGGCTATTTTTGGGTGTGTGTGTTTGTTTATTCCCCCCCGCGGGACCCGGAAAGTCGCGCGTGCCTTGCTTTTTGGGTGAAGGGGGTGCGCAAGAAGGGCTACGGTCGGAAGAAGGGGGGGGGTACTTCGAAGGAACGTTGTATTCGCGTGTCCCTCGTCGCGTGTCGGGCGACACCAACCTATTTGTTTTAATTCCTGTACCAAGTTGCCCAGTTTTTTTTGTGTTTTTATTTCGGAGACAAGCAGTCTTGCAGCAGTATTTCGGGTAGCGCCAGCTGCGCGGCGTATCGGCACTCGTGACAGTTGCCGGGGAAGGAGAGCGTTGTCGAAGCTGGAATCCACAAAAGCCCAAATTTCTGCAACCGCGGTCTTTGCACCGTCAAACAACAACGTTCTGCACAACAGACACTTGAATGGAATCCTTTCACAAGTACGCGTGAACGTGCCGAGTCAGAGTGAGAAGCAATAAAGAGCGGCGCGGCATTTAGGCACTACGAAAGAGAGTCGCCCGGATCCTTCTCCGCCATGTATTCGACTGAGTGTTCAATATTGTTGGTTTCTACAGTTCTCTTTTCATTCTACACGGCGACCGCCGTCTCAAGGGTCGCCAGACAACAGCAGTCGTTGGAACGAGATAATTGAAGCAAAGAATAAACAACAAGCGCCAGTGAACCGTAGTGTGATGCCTGACCTGTCGCGGCCAGAGCAAATACCAGGTAGTAGCAGCATGAGTAATGGGTCAGGCGCACCATCTATTTGATACAAAAACAACTTGTTCAACAACAACACCGATTCCATTTCAACGAAGGAACACAGGTACGTCGAGTCAGGGGGGGATATATAATGCATAGCACAAAGGATCCAACGTTATGTATCGTCACAACAGAATGTGCCGCCGTTTCTACCCGTGAAGTACGCTCTTGTTGACTAAAAAGCAACAAACACACGTTGAAAAAAAAGCGCGCCGCCGCGCATGCAAGGGACACAACGAACAGGTTTTTCCTATCCCGAAAACCACCTCGCGTTGACGAGGCTGGAAGCTCCTACGCAACTCTCCAGCAGCATTGAGTCATCCAGGCCGAGCGTGCTGCACCACGAGAACGCCGGGCTGTCAAGGACTTCTCCCACGATCCGCTTCAGGGCGACCCGGCAGCACACAAACGACGTGTTGTTGTTGTTGATGATGCCTTCGCCTCCCGCAGCTTCTTCAGCCATCACTCCTTGGCTCGGCACTCCTCGTGGCGTACCTGCTGCCCCTGCTCCTGCTGAAGCTGTTGCTGCTGCCGCCTCACGCAGGCGAAGAACCACCACGTCGGCTCTCGATACAAGCGCAACGAACGCGGCTGCTGCGGCGTGCTCGTGGAACTCGCGGCCAAGATACTGGCAGGACAGAAGCACGCCACGGAGCCTGCCAGGCACGAGCAGGGCGGCCAGCGACACGGGAGTCATCGGCGGCAGGACCCGTCCGATAGTCTTCTCGATCGTGATGCGCCACCTTCTGCACACTGCTCGGCACTCTGCTCCCCCCTGCACAACAACGTGCGCCACTTCTTCTGAGGGCGGAGCACCTTCAAGACAGTCGACGAATTCCAAGACCACGCTGAGGACGTCTGCCTCCAGCGCCATCACGCTGGCGGTGGCGGCGTTGTTGGTGCACCTTCGATAACACTAGTCCATCGACCTGAAAGTCCACCACGCACAATCAATCCAATCGAGGCGCCTGCTCGGATCTGGCAAGAAGGCGCACGCGTACCTCTCCGTCGTCCGCCTCTCCATCCTACGCGCGTTCAAATTTAAAAATTCAAAATTCAATTTTTTGCATCTTCTTGGCAAACGACCCGCCGCCCGCCGCAACAAAGCGTCTTTCCCGTGTGTGCTGTGGTGCAGCATGCTCCCGGCTCGACGCTGCACGCCGCTGTTGCCGTATTTGGAACATATTTCTTTCTTGGCGAGGGTTACGGCCACAGCGTTTGTACGTCGCTCTGTTTCCGCTAGTTTTTGTCAAAGTAGGTCAGTAGAGTGCAGCAGCGTCCCAACAAAACAGCTTACGATTAGTCTACGGGTAAGGGCCATGTGTTCGAAAATATATACTTCGTATTCGTATAGTCTATATTTTTCTAAATATGATCCAACGAATCCATCTCTATCTAGGAAAGTTACTTATACATATATAAAGACCATGTACCCGTGCGAGATATAACCACAGGCCAGTCAGTCGAAAGGGGTGTGTTCAAGTCTTTTCAGTGAATCGGGGAGAACACCTGCTGGATACTGGGCATATTTTGAGTCTGTTTCAAGCATGTACTCTGAAACATAACCAGTGATGCCAGCGGGTGTCAAGCACAAAACCTGTGTGTTGTACCCATTCCCCAAAGCCTCAGGTATCAACCTGTTTTGACTGATGGGAAGTCACCTATGGACTTCTTTTTTGATAGGGGGTGACCTACAACGGTACGTACTTCGATGATTTCAAGGATTGCTGTTAGTCAGGGGGTCACAACCTGTAGTCACCCTCCTTTTTCTCATCGCTTCCAAACCCTCAAATGACTGGTGGCGGAATCGCGGACCTCCTGCCGCCGCGGGAGACCTCCCACTACGCAAATGCCTACCCTAAATCTATGTTTCACAAAACGCCAACGTTACCACCCGCCGGACCGTAATCGACCGAAGCAACAGCAACACCGGCTGTCGTTGGCCCGCGCAATCAAACAGCCCTCCACCGTACCCGCACTCAATGACCAATGTACAATGCTTGCCCAGTCAACGTTCTAGAGGCGGTCGCTGCAACAACTCAACATGGTGCCATCTGGCGAGGGACAACAGGCCCCCTGCAGGGCCGAGCACCCGGGGTGATTTGCACAGTCCCGATCGTCACCAGGCCCCTCCTCCTCCTCCTCGTCGTCGTCGTCGTCGTCGTCCTCCATCCCCCCGTCAACCTTAACCTCCCCTCCCGCCGGCTTGGATGACGACGTTTTGGTCGGGGTGGGCGATGGCGCAGAGGAGTTCGAGTGCTTCCGCCCAGAGATGTGGACGGAACCGCAGCAGCCCAGGTACACCCCCTGCTGGGTTGGGCAGCAGGCGCCTTCAAGCATCGCGCACCTTAGGGGGGCAATTTGTGACACGGGGGGGGGGGGGGGGGGNGGGGGGGGGGGGGGGGGGGGGGGGGGGGGGGGGGGGGGGGGGGGGGTCGTTGTGGATTTGATACGAGAAGGTTTCCTCGGATCGAGGACAGGCTGTAGGAATTGCTGAGGCGGTCGCTTCGCCCGGTAAGGGGGGTTACGGGGACCCCAAGTCATCTTGCACGCTTGTACGGCGGCGAATAATAGACTGTGAAGGGAGACAAGAAACTGGATCCTTCGTGAAGGAAGTCACGGACGAAACGAACCGAGGAGCATCAGGTGCAAGACTCCAAACACGACACACGAAACGAAAAAAAACAGTGAACTAGCAGGCCGGAGATACGCACACTCCGCGGCCTGTCCAACTCTTGTACTTTCCGCTCGACTCAGGTTACATTTGGCGACAACACCCCCTCACACACATCATCCACAACCATGGGATTCAAAGATCTCCGAATCTGCGGAGAAGTCAACGCCAAAGTAAAGAAACCGATGGGTGGCCTATTTAGTCGTGGTTCGAGAGGTCTTGTACAGGAGCTGGGGGAGGGGCTGGGGATCGACCACAACCCATTCAACCACTGTACCTTCCACTAATGTTACCAGGCCACACATGGCAGGTCGTACGTTTTCTGAGGTATTATGCTGCTACATCGTGCTTCGGAGTGAAAACAAGGAAGGAGATGAAGCATACTCGAACGGTTAGGTTGTTCCGCGTCAAGTGAAGAGACAGACACATATACAAGCTCACCCCTGGTTGGCGCTGCACAGGGCCTGTGGGTCCACCGCCACCGCCGCCTTGTGCTCCTTCTTGTCGTCCTCGCTGTCATCGCCACCCTGCCCGCAGCACGCCAGCATCTCTCCAGAAAGGCCAGGGCAGCAGAGTCCGGTCGCCAGGCCCGCGGCGACGCAGTTGGGGTTGGAGGAGCACGCCGACGGGCCCTATACTCACGAAAAAACAAAAAAATTGTACCGCAGAAACGGCTCCGTTAGGTCACACCAACGGCAGCGATGATGGTGATTGATCGGTCACGAGTAGGGGGATCGCGAGTGCTTGGGCCGCGCTTTGGTAGCGATAGTGATTGTGGGCGTGGACCCTTTTATCGCCTTTCTCCACCACGAGATAAATCACACCGACTGCTGTAGAGCAGGGCACGCGATGCTCGTGGGTGGAAGTACCCGCAGCCAGATCATTATCCTTAATTATCTTCACCTCAGTAGGCATCCGCCCCACGCCCACAAACACCACACTAAATACACACCACTCCGGAGGTAGCTCAGTTGGGTAAGAAAAAATCCCCGTGCAAACCTCGGGAACTCCGTCTCCGCTCGGACAGCAGCCTAGCCAACCATCGTCCTTCGTCGGGCAGCACAGCTTCTCCTGCGTTAAGCTCTGGGGCGCAACACATAGCGCGGGATGGAGGGGCGACCAGCACAGCGGGGCAGAAAGGAAAGCAAGCTGTTTGTTCACCAAATATGTTTACCAACTATCATGACAAAGACACGATACTGGTCTACGTCTTGTACCCTTGTCGGAGAGATGATGCTTAAGGCTATGGGCAGCTGTATGAACGCCCCCGATTCTGATGAACTTGAAGGTTCAGCGAAGGTAGAGTAAGTGGCCTTTGACCCACCTCCATAGTAAGGCTAATCTACCTCCGTGCTATCAAGGCGAGGGAGTATGATCAAGCGATGCTTGACCAACTTGGAGTCAGGTAAGAGTGTGACCGGGTGGGGGGGGCGTCGTGGGTCTCACTTTCGTCACCGGGTCCTCAATCTTTCCCAAGCGGTGGTGAATCTACCCCTGGAAAAGATCATGCATGCTGGGTAGGCCCTTTGCCGAGAACGCCATTTGGCTTTACTGGTTTCCGTGTATGCCCACACGTGCCTAGATTCGACATCTGAATTCTCCACTGCAATAGCGTACGCTTGTATCGGGCTGTTCGTGAAGAAGGAAGGGGCGAGAGAGAGAGCACGCCACCACAAAAGAAAGACAATCGGTAGACTTGGGCTAGGTCAGCAAACTTGCGTCATTGGCGCAGCGGAAGCGCCAGCTCGCGCAGCTAGCTGGCTCGCGGAAAATCGACAAAGGTCATGGACTGACAGGCAGGTACCGGCGCTTACCCTCGCTTGGCAGGCGGAGTTGGCGCTGCACTCGGCTTCCACTTTGACCTCCACGGGGAACATGGATTCGTTATACGCCTCTACTTGCCGCCGGGTAGGTCGTATAACGCATAGCAGTGTCACATCAGAGGCAGCAGCGGAACAATGTCGATCAAATTGTGGTGTCGCACCGTGCGATCGCCAAGATTAAGAGAGGTGAGAGCAAAAGAGAGGAGTAACATCAACAACATTGTCCGTAGAAGGGGAGACAGCACGCGGTCGGGGCAACGAAGGGAGACATGCATGGGGAATAAACAGCAAAAAAAACAAAACAAAACACGAAAAGCACACTCAACACCAAAGTCACAAATGTCTTGGAAGGTACAGAAGCGAACTTGCCGACCATTTAGACAAGGATATTCTGCACGGCGAAAAAAAGTACTGCAACATCGGCAAAAGAACAGCAAGCAAAGGCGATGCAACGGGCGTGTTGCGACGACAGGGGCACAGTTAAAAGCTTTGTTTTTTCTCGCACCTCCCGATGGGCGCGTGGCTATCCAGTAGAGGCTGTTGGTCTTGGAGTTGCCGTTGTCGAAGATGTCGAGGGCCGTGAGGTTGGCCCACGCTTCCACGGGAAGCACGACCGAAGCCGCCAAGTAGATGAACCCGGCCCACTGAGGGTCTGCATTCAATTTGTTCATTTGAGCGTTTATGTTTTGTTCAGAAAGAGAAAATATGGAAGTGGTAAGGGAGATCGCGCGATAGAGAAAGAGGCAGGAGAATGGTAGGGGGCTTCGTGCTCAGTGCCAAGCAGCACTGACATAGCGACGGTATTTGCTGCGTGGTCCAGCTGCACACAGAAAACGAAGGGTTGTGGCACTCACTCGTTGGTTGTTCGTCGGCGACAGACGAATACACAAGTACAGGGGTCACTCAATGAAAGAGTGATCAACAAGAGGTGCCGGACATAACATACTTAACGCACCTTGTAGACACGAGAGACCACGGACGCACAGCGCACGCACAAGCACACACACACACGCACAAGGAACGACACGTCACCAACAAGGGGCAGGAGAAGAAACAGCGTGCGTCGCCCTCACACCTGGCTCTCTACCGTCGAAGGCGGCCTCGAGGACGGGCCACTCCTGCTCCATGAAGTCCCGGTGCAAGAGGTCCTCCGTGATAGGGGTGAAAGGCATCATGTTGACGCAGTGGACGTACTCGACGTTGTCGCCGAACCTCGTGCACGATAACAATAAAATAAATACAAAAATGGCTTGCGGCATATTTACACCACACAAAGTGGTTCTTTGAGGGGACGCAGCAGCTTACGTCTTTGACACTGCTGTGCGGCAATTCATCGTCCTCGACGAGGCGCCTGGAATAGTCAGCGAAAAAAACTCGGGGTGTGTACACCCCGCCGGCTTTGTATGGACGCCAGGGGCTACAACCATTTTTGTCCACAACGGGTAGCCCTTCTCCCCCGACCTCCCATCTGCAAGGGTCTTTCACGGACAATGAGTACGCGTCTATCTTACCCAACACAACACTGGAGGGAAGGGCCTGCTAAGAGCCTTTATCGCATAAACTCAAAATCATCACCTCAAGAGGAATTAATTTCGGCGTGACCCCCGATCGAAGCTCTCCAGTCAGAAAGGCGAGACCGTACGTTGGGTAGGCAAAAGTTTGCTCAATAGCAGCGACTTACATAAGATAAAGTTCAAAGAGAAATAGAACAAAGTAACACACCATGTAAGCTGCACAGCCTCGAGCGATGCCACCATTCCGACCATGCGGTGGGAGGAAAAGTAGGAGTCGTACACCTGGCCAACAGCAGAGGGGACAAAACAACAAAAACGGGGGGAAAGTAGCAAGATTTGGTGGAGGTGATACGTAACAACCTGCGGTACAGGCTGAATACGCGTCAACGCTAGTGGAACACCGTCAAATCGGGGAGCTAAAGACGTTGCCCTGGGAAAGGTTGCAGGCCTGTCTGACTTCTGCAGAGATGCCACGGAAAGTGGTCTTGTCTCTGGCGCGCTGGTTGTCTCACTACACATCGCAACAGCAAAGCAGCGGCCGACGGGCGCGTGAGTTCACGCGGGAAAGATAGCACGAGAAAAACGCGTGCAACAAAGCGTGCTTGAGGTTTACTGACGCAACTCCATCGGCCTCTGCCTCCGATGGTCTTCCTAGACACGAAAATAGGGATGCGACTACTCTGGTCTAGCATGAAGATGATTGTGACACAGGTTGTAGTTTGCGACAGTTGGGGAGACGATTGGTTTCTCGCGAAAAGACCTTCATCCGCCTGACATGTCCCCCGTGGTTGTGGGCGTGACCGGTGACCTTGAGGCAATTGCCTATCGATGGTATGTATCGACGGTTAACCTTATGACCTAAAAATAAAGGAAAACGACAGACACGGTATTCATTCCGCTGGGACCCGGACAGAGAGGTGGGTAGAGGGGCCGCAAAAGATACTGGATGATTGCGAGGGTACGTCCGTTTCGCTTGTTTGCTGCGAAGGCGTGGTTGAGCTACCCAAAACCTCCCCACCATTGCCGTATTCATTCAGAGGCTGTTCAGGTTTTGCGATGGAGCTCACGCCAGCCCCTCACACACGTGCTCGCCTTCCTAGAATATTTCTACAAGTTCGACCAACCCACCATCTGGTCTTTTCAGCGATACCATAATAAGAACGAAACGTGACGTGACGAAAAACGAACACACAGCCACACAAGGCACCGAAGAAGACGGCAACCCACCCCATTGTGTCTGGGCATCTGCCAGTACTTTCGAGCGGCCCGAACCTCCATCGCGAGCAACACCCGACCCCAGTCCTTTGTGGCGTCGTCTCCGGTGGCCAAGCCGAAGAGGTACACACCGTAGTAGGCGTTAATGCTCTCGGACACGGACTCCTGGGACTTGCCATTCCCCTGCGGGAATATTCCGGATGTCCAGCTATGGCCGTCGTACAAGTCCTGGGCGGCGTAGTTCGGTATGGGACAACCACGTGGATGTGTGAGTATGGCGTGTTTGATAAACAACAGTGGAAATACGGAGTAAAAACGGTGGCATTGTGTCAGCCAGGATGAAGCAGCGACAATGACGACTAATCCAGCTGTGGCCGACACATATTTTTTGCGTGTTTGAGGGGGGAGAACAAATGAACACGAGGTATCGCGCAAAACAAAAATACAACACAACTACCGTGTCAGCATGCAATAACGTCTCGCAGCTACTACGCAACCAAAACAGATTCAGCCAAGTTCTATCGCTTCTTCTTCTACCATGGTCTTACCGTACACAACCTACCGCCAGGAAATGAATCGCAGTCGATTAAATACACGTGGAGCCACACACCACTCTAAACAGCCATACACCAATGCTGCCTGTCTCTCTCCATTCGATCAGGCACGCAGGGAGCTCACCTTCTGTCTTGCTGTCGGGAAGTATTTCGCCATCCTTCCTCCCCCCATGGCGGCCACATCCGCCACGAGGAAGTCGAGCTGTTTCTTGTACGTCCGGTGGAAGACCGGTCGGAACTTGGAGAGCACCGCCGCCGCGTATAGCAGGTACCTGTTCACCAAGAGTTGCATGTTGTTGTTTAGTTTAACCCATTGTGTGCTGTGTGCCGCGTTTTGCTCTTGGTTTGGTCGACACTATTGTAGCTTCAACCTCTCAATACGTTAATCCATCAGTGCGAGAGGTTAAGTCTACACCTGACTGCTCTAGCCAAAACCAAACACGGTGTCCAACACATTTTTCCTGCGTTTTGACTTGTGAGTGGCTTCCTGCAGTTGCCTCCTTCGTCCCTTCCACTTTTCCTTGCTCCTTGTTCATCGTCTCACCCGTAGTGGTAGGTGTGGTCATTATACCAGGCGTTGCCGTAGTCGGCGTTCTGGTTGTTGAGGCCGTTCTTGGTGACGATGCCTCCCCAGGTCTTGTCGTAAACGAGGAGGTCCTTCAAGGCACGCCCGACAAGTCGCAGAAGGTGCCGGCATTTCCCGGCGCACGGCAAAGTTTTAGGCTACATGCGAATCAGTAGGATGCTACAACGAGATATTTCTTGACTACAGATGGTAGATTTCACGCTGGGCGTCGCCATCGTCGTTTGATGCCTGGAACGAGGAGGAGAATGGGGCATGACATGCTTCTCTTCCGCGCCAAAGCTTCACTACAAATACTTGTATTCCGCCGTGCACCAGCACCAGGCCTGACGAGGTATGGTAAAAATTCGGTGAATGCGAACAAACTTCTTTTTGGTGGGAAGAGGAACGACTTCCGCGCAGCAGCAACATACTTCCACGCGTGCAACCCACTCTAGGACCAGGGTTTCAATAGCGAGGAAAATAGCCCGAAGGAGCAGTAGAGCATCCGTTCACTTTCTTGACTATTATACATATATATAATACCAAACATCTTCTCATCGCATACATACGCCAGAGGAGGACCTTCTGATGTATGCATAGGATAAGCATGGCACTGTTTACTACGGATAGGACGGTACACACGGAAGCATAGACAGCGCGTAAACGTTACAGTTCAACGCCCTTTTCTGGCGGGTGTGCGCGTGAGAGGAAAGACCGAGACAAGGACAGAGAGACAAAGACAGAGACAGACATGGACAGGGACAGAGCCAGAGACGGAGATCTTGCGCTCCGTTGGTGCATGGTCCTTTCGAATGGCGTTACCATCACCCCCTTCCCTCCGACGGAGACAACCGACAGCATCAGCCTTGCAGACCTCTCACCTCGTTGTCGTTCTTCATCCAGGGGGTCAGGTAGACCCCCACGGTGGCCAGAGCGGCCTCTCGCCCAGGAATGTCGCCTTCCCCACGAAACGAAACACAAAGACAAAAGCGGACACAGCACCCAGAGAGCAAAACAACGAAAGAACGGGCAACGGAGGGGATTGGGTCGATCACCAAGCGACAGGGCAAGTAGCGACACCTTCACCACCGCCACCATCACCGCCACCAGCACTAACAACCACAACAGCAAGAACAACCAACACTCACCAAGCTCGTCGGCGACAAGCGCGAGCCTCGCCATCCTTGAGATCTCCTTGCCGAAGGAGTACACGTCCGGCGCCGACGGCAGCACCGAGTTGAGATCGGCGGCGAGGGCGTCGCGCATCCGCCTCTCCCACGACAGGGACAGGAGGGGGTCGTCGATCGACAGCGTGGCCTCCTGGAGCGGAGTTCTAGCGGTCCAGGCGATGTCCGTGAGGTTGTCCCGCATGATCCAGACGCTCCCCACGATCCCGGTCATGGGGCCCTGTGAAAAGTGGGCCAGCATAACGCCATGCCAAGAAGAGTTTTGCTCCCTGCGGTGCCTTAGAATTGCGTTTATGGTACGTACGCCAACTGTTGGGTTTGTGACAAGAGGACTAATAGCATAACGCCCGTGTTGCTCCCTCTGCCTTAGAACTGTAATTATGGTACGTAGGAGGCCAATTGTTGGGGTACTTTGCCAGCCTCAATGTTTTAATCCTCCGAAAGACTAACATGAAGTTGCGCGCGTGTGTGGGTAAGAGTTATCGAAGCAGCCTCGTTTTGGTCAATGGGTAGCAAGCTCGTCGTCGTCGTTGTTGTTGTTGCAGATCTAGTCTCTTTCGTGCCGTCGAAAGGACCTGCTTAGCCACGAAACTCTTTAAACGATGCCCTGAAACCCGGCGCGCCCCGAAACCCAGCCTTCCTCCTGGACGACGGCACTCCCCTCACTCCCTCTCCTCCCCACGTCTGGACACAAAATGAAACCTCGAACAACAAACACAACCACCACACACCTCGTTTTCCAAAATATCGTATCGTGATGCCCCAACACGATCCGCCGCAGTTGAACGTACGTTCTCCGTTGGTGGGCCTTGGGTCGCGCTCGCCCAAAACCCCATAATTGTTCATTCCTAACAAGGCGGCACATCGGTGCCGCTGCCAACCAACCGCTAGAGGTCGCACCCCATCCTACCGTTGGTCGCGACTCAAACCACCCGGGGCAGAAACGTCGCAACCCCCGCCTGGTCGTGTGCACGTTTTTTCTGCCGATTTCTTGCTGTTCTGACCTTGATGCACTGGTAGCTGTCCGCCATGACGACCGCGATGTCTGCCCCTGCGTCCATGGTGTCCATGTGGTGGGGCAGCGCCATCATCAGAAGGTCGCCGAAGCCGTCCTTATCCCACTCGTACCTGGACCACCCCACAGCAGCAACACCCCGAAATGAATCGCACGCGGCAGGATGTGTGACCCACCAAGACTCGGGTAAAGACCAGAAAGTCAATCGCTGTCGTGTTTATTTTCTGTCTCGTTCTGGACTATTGGCTCCTCCGCACGCGCCTGGGTCTTTCGGACCTCCTCCCCTTTTTCCGCGGCGTTTGCTGTCCAGCTCCTTTTCACGACAGAACGTCGGCCTGGCCTCAATTCAACGAGCACAGAGCCACCCTTCAGCGTACACACACCTTGTGCCCTACCGCCCAACATTCCACGAACTTCCCATTGGCGTACAGCCACCCACCACTCATGTTCTCAACAAGACGTGCACCCTATCCTATCAAAGACCGCACGGAACAAACATCTGATTCTGCGGTCGTGCGCCTCGCGTTGATGTCCATGTTCGCGGGACAAAAAAAAAACAGCGGGGCAACCTCCTTAGCTTCCGCCTCTCACTGCACAAAATACGCCGCCCGGTCGGTGGTCGCCGCGCTCTCGCTCACCTCATCTCCATCCTGTCCCCGTCGACGTCGAACGCCACGCGCCCCCCCCTGGGGTAGGCGTAGGCGTGCTCCGAGAGGGTCATCTCGCCCTCCGAGTCCCACGGGCGCGGCAGAACCGCTACGCGCACGATGCCCGAGAAGGGGGCCTTCATCTGCCGCCGTGGTGTGCGCCGTGTTGCCGCGGCCGGCCGGGCAAGCAAACCGGAGAGAGGGAAAAAGAAGGGTTAACAGAGGGCGGGGGGGGGGGGGGGGGGGGG